GGTGCAGCCCCGAGCGCTTCCGCGCTGGGCAGGACCCGGTAAGCCGCCGATAGCTGCTGCGGCAAAAATCTGCGTCAGTGTTAACGGTGCGTTCATCGGAAATGACACGAAAACAGGGGCTTGGCCTCGGGTTCCAGGTGCAAGAGGGTGAGAGCCTAAGCTTGCACTTCGCCATAGTGCGGTGCGGTTTGGTAGGAGCGGTGGTGTGGCTGTGCTCCCTGGGCCCCTCTGTCTCTGTGCTGCCCTTTTTTTTTCTCCCAAAGTGTTTTGGAAGTGATGTTATAGACTGTGCTGTTGTCTCTCACTAGATATGGATAACAGGAAGGATGAAAAACATAGGACACTGTGTGCAACTTCACAGGAAGAGCTGAAAGTCCAAGGTAGGCACTGGTAATCCGTTTCAGTGGTTATGGCGTTGGGTGTATTGTCCTTATCTCAGTTGCCGTGTTCGACCCTGATGTCGAGCATTGCCACTCGAGAATGGTAATTAACCATGGGACACTCTTGAAATAGGAGTTCATTGTGCTTAAGTTTTGTGAAGACTCACTTTTGTAGACCGTAGTTACTAGCATGCTTGTCACTGTTGCCTTGTGTTATGCAAAGGGAAAGAAAAAAGGAAACGAAAACGCAGTAGAAGCAGATCATCATCCATTTCATCCACATCGTCTTCCAGCACTACATCTGCTTCTTCCTCCTCGTCACGCTCATCATCAAGGTCATCATCAAGTAGCAGAGGTGAGCTACCTGCATGTGTGCACATGGTGTTTGCCAGATTTGATAGCACTCTTAGAAGCATTTAAAGCTTGTTTTAAATGTGGGTAAAGCACTGAAAAGTGGCAGTGTAGCATACTAGTACTGCATGATCAGAGTGTTTCTCTCATAACCCTTTTCTCTTGCTGTTTTAAGGTACCTCTTTAGGCACAGCATGCAACCTTCCTGTGTTAATTTAAATTACCTTAAAATACAAATGGCCATTCAAAGAAATGTTACTTTGTAACAATATGTTGTTTATATTTAAAACTCTGTGTTTTGAAAGTATAATGAATACAGATCTTTTTCTGCTTCACTCCTCTAGACCAGTGTTGCAGTTTTTGATTTAGTCTTTCTTTGGTCTTAAAGCTCCAAGCATTTAACTCTGAGGACTCACATGAAGTTTATTAATATCAATGACTGAGTTCAGTGGGAACATGTATGCAAGAATTGCAGGGTTAAGACACCCCATACTAAGCTGCTGCTTACTTAAAAGGACTTGAGGTAGTTTGTTTGGCGTTTTTTTAAAGGTACTGTATGGGATGAAGTGCATATTTTTTGTATGGGTATAACTTGTGACCTCAAGGGGAGTGTATTGCTGATTATATCAAGACTGTATTGCTTTGATATTCTGTATCAAAATATTTGGTATCATTGCAGGTAAGATGACCAAATTGCCATTCTATTTTTAGTAGAATGTGTTAGGCTAAACACTGAAGTGTATTCTTCTTTTTTTTTTCTTTTTTTTTACTATGTTTGGGAGGAACTCTCATTTGAGCTAGAACTCTAGGAGAAATAGAGTTCTCCTGATGTGAAACTTCCCCTGACTCTGAAGCTAAAGAGTTTTCAGTGTGGTATACGACCTCGTATTTGTGATTGTGTATCTGGCAGTTTAACAAAGACTTAGTTCCGCTTCTTTTGAAGTGCATTTACATCTGTATGGAAATATTACTTGTTCTCATACTTCAGTGGCTTGATTCAATGGCATAAATATATTCTGAAAATGTTCAAATCTATGAACTTGTACATTTGGTTGCAGGGCTCTTCCTTTCTTCTTGAATGAATTTTTATCCTATGTCATACACTCTAACATTTCTAAAAAGAATTAAAGTGTCATGCCAGCCACTGACTGTGTGAACATGCTTGGCATGCTTTCTGGCTCATCTTTTGGAGGAGTGTCAAGAAACATATATCAGAGGAAAAAAATCATTCTGAATTAGGGCCAAGTTGTCAGTCTGCCTGCTCAGAGATTTGCTAAAACTTTACAGCTAATAATTCCCTAAGTTTTCCCATTCACAGAGGAGAGCAGAAAATCTAGTAAAAATGTCCTACAAGGGCATGTTTCAACAACTCAACTTACTCCATCTAGAGAAGAAGAGATGCGAGGTAGTTGAGCTAAGACAGATATATAGGTTTAGGTAGTGGCTACCATGGAGAGGGAGTGAAAAATCTTTCTGTGACTTTCTGAGCAAGGGAAAATGATCTTAAATTGCAACAGGAGAGATTTGAATTCGATCTAGTAAAATACATCCTAGCAGCAGAACAGTGAAATAGCTTGCCTAACCTGCAGTTAAAGAGGAAAGTTGCCCTGGTCTGATGTGTTGGCTATAACAGAGATGGAGTTAACATTCCTTGGGGATAGTAAAATTGAGATTTTTTTCTGGCATTTTTTTAATCTGTGTTTCTCTTACTTAATGAGTATAGCTGTAACTGTGGCTCTTAGACACTGGGCAGTGGCTGGGAAAACAGAGGAGAGTGGAGGAAACTGTCTTCTGCTCTCTGAGTTGTATCCCCCACCCACCTTCTCCAACCTTGCTGGTAACATAGGTTATATGGATAATGAAGCTAACTTGAATCCAGAAAAGACACACTTTTCTGTGGAAAAAGAGACATTGGGATACAGAAACTGGGACGGCAGCTTGTTAGGTGGAGTTGGGAAGGGAGTTCCCCTCAGACAGGAGACAAGCAGGCAAATCGGTACTCAAGCTAGGGAGGTAGGGTGGCCGAGTATGGAAACAGATTGAGCCGGTGAGGGATGGCAACTCAGAAAGAGTGAACAGCAGGAAAAGATGGCCTGGCTTAGCCTAGGAAGTCCAGGGTTCAGTGCAGAAGCCTAGAGAAGTTCTTCTAGGGTTTGCCACAAGAACTGTGGCTGGGATGGTGGGAGATAAAAAATGAATCTGGATGATATGTGGGCAAAGGGATAAAACTGGGCAAGTTTCTGTTCACCATAGTGTACCAATTCTCAGGGTCTGGAAGAAAACCCAGCGTTCTTGAACGTACCCCTTTCCTGACGTTGGCAAACACTTATAAAAGTCCTCTGGCCAGATACACCATCCCCTGTGGGCACTTAGCCCAATCCATTGTTACCAAGAGACTGTGGTGATATAATTACCACTTCCCTTGTTTCTTCTGACATGCCTGTGTTGCATTTGTCGTTAGGAGGCCAAAGGAGGATTGCTTGGACAGCCTCACCTTAGGCTTTTCTAACTTTTGAGTCTGGCTGTGCTCTGGTATATTCCTATAATGTTATCTTTTGCTTGGAATTTATTGTAAAGAATCTGGAGGGCTGATAGCTTGAAGGCAGTCTCTTGGAAGACCAGAAAGATGTTTCACAATCTCTCTGGATTTACAGTCCCATAGTTAAAGCTGATGCTTCAAAATCAACTTCCTCACATACTGTCACAGTGTTTTCTTTAAAATCTATGATTGGCTTATAGAACTTAGGAGTTTCTGCTGTAGAAAACATACTAAAAACCTTGAAGTTGGAAGGTGACTTGAGTCAGTAGGAAAAGCTTTTCATTTGCCTTGAGCAGTGATAATATTTTCTGTGGTTGGTCAGCCCCAACTGTACTTTTTGTTGTCTGCTTTGTGAGTCAGAATCCCTGGCTATAAAACAGATGTTTGCAATCTGTTGAGCACAGCTGCAGAAAGAAAAGAGAAGTATTGCCTCTATCAATACAATATATTGGTATAAGTAATCACAGAATAAATCAGGTGTTTTGAGTTTCCACGTTAGACCAGTAAGTGGCAGTAAGTTAATGTGTTGCTTTTCTCAGGGTTAGTTTCAACCAGCATTAATATATATAGCTGAATTAAAGCATTTTCTTCTTATGTTTTACATTTCTATATGCCTTATCTATAAAACCAAGTGCCTCTTTCAGAATGTTAAACATACAGGGTTTTGTTTTGTTCTGGTTTTTTTTGGTTTTTTTTAGATTCTCCTAAGTCTAAATCAAAGAAAAAGAAAAAAGAAAAACACAACAAAAAGGTAAATGTTTACTTAGAGAAATAAGTAGCTAACAAACAGAAAATAGTTCTTTGTATTTTAATAACCTTCACTGTCATGTAAGATGTAATGCTTTTGTCTGTGGCTATGTAAATCTGGATCATGCTTTTAGGCTTGCAGCAGGTAAGCTGACAGGTTGGTGCATATTTGACTGTACACTAAAGGAGAAATAATTTAAATGTTCCTTTTGCCAATCGTTGTTGGTCCAGCTAGAACTTAAAGTAGCCTCTGAAGAAGAGAGAAGTGGGGAATCTTGATGACTTTATAGGATTTCTGTTAGAAGAAACTTTAGTCAGTGAGAGTAGTAGATTCTTGCTTTTATTTTTCTTTTTCATTTTATTAGGATTTATTCAGTGATTTATTTTTTTAATGTATATTGGGGTTACATTAAAAGAGAGAGAATCAGGGTTGAGACCACTTCTGTTTCTCAAGATCTCAAGGGTTACTAACCCTGCTGTGTGCTTCAGATAGTACCTATTCAGCAGTGGTAAGGGCAAGCAGTAGTGGCTGTCTTGACTAGCTGGGGTGTTACGAGCTACTTGTGGGTTTTCTTTTTTTGCCTTTGTAAATCTGTAAGCATAAGACTATATGTCTTATACTTGTAGAAAAGGAAAAAAGAGAACAAAATGAAGAAAAAGAAAGAAAAGAAGAAAAAGAGAGAGAAAACAGGACCTGTCCAGCTTTCCAAGGTATGTTTGTGTGAGTCTGAATTCCCATTAAATTTCTCATCAAAACATTTAATCTGTCCTGTCATAAAAACATTCAAAACACCACCAGTTTTGTCATCAGCAAATAAAACCTATCTCTATTGTTTTGGACAGTTAGGAAGTATAAAAGGTTATTGTCTGTAATTTTAGATTTGTAACATTACAAAATAAAGCAAAGCTTATGTCTTTCTAATGTGTGATCTCATTTTAGTTCTTTAAAAACAAAAAGAAGAATGAAAACTACAGCATGATAACTGGAAAGAAAATTAAGATGAAAATAAAGAAGACCAAGAAGGATAAAGAGGTAAGAGTTAAAATAGTCCGTATGTCCCTTAGGGAAAATACTGTATCTTTTAACATTTTTGTAATAGTAGTCTTTCGTAGAAGAGTAGATCTTACAGTTAGGAGTTGTAAATTGATTGTATCTTTTAATGTGGCTATGATGCCATCTGAGACTTTAATTCATTCTTTTGGCAAGTTTTGTGCTATGAGTGGGCTTGGAATACTCAGGCATGTGTAGATAAACCAAGGGATGCTTGTGTAGGTTCTTAGAATTTCAGTCTGTAATGTTTAGCTGATTCGTGGGTTTCTCTGCAGATTTAATTTGCACTGTTTTTAATTGTCCTCATCTTCTTCCAGTCTCTTGTGATCAATTGTGGTAATTGCTGCTTTACTGTGTTTTTTGTGTGCATGCAAGACTAGCCGTTATTTAGAGAGGAATTAAAAAAAAGACAATAGTAGTATTAGGACCACGTGCTCATGCATTCTTTCAAAGCAGTCAGCTGTTTTTGCTGAGATACCCAGGGAAATAGATATCATGAATAGCATTTTGTGCTAGTGCTATGGGTGTTTGGACTCAGCACTTAAATGATATGTTCACTTTTTTCAGCACTTTCCACACCTTAGAGTGATCTGCAGAGGGCTTCTGATACTAGTCAGTATGTGTTAAAAGCATTACTTTGCTGAGGTATCCAGTCTGGCGGATTCTAATTAGGCCATAACAGTTCATTCTGTAACTACCAAAGCAGACTTAAGCATTCCAAGTTAAATTTGATCAAAAATATGTTATCTTTTTTCCTATGGCACTGAAGTTCATGTTAAATTATGCTGAACGCTTGCTAGCCTTATCACAGTAACCTGCTTGTTACAATATTTGATATCAAATATTTGATGTTTGTCCTTTTTTGATTTGGTGTCTGTGGTAACGAACATACTGAACTGAACAACATCCATTCTTCATAAGAATTAAGATTCAATGATTGTTTTATAAATTGTGATTTTAAAACCACCAGAAATGAGTGTTTTGACTCTTTGGGCCATCTCTTATGTAAAGAAAGAATCTAAATTCATGGTTCCCTTTCTGTTATGCTGTAAGCTGCTGCTTTGTGCACTGAAAAAAATTATACTTCCCAAAGCACCAGACTTGCTGTGCGTACAGTGAAAGTTGCCTCAGACATCAGAGGATTGCATCTGTTCTGCTTGTGAGTTCCCTCCTGAGCAGTCTACATGATGACAACCCAATGGTGCCTCTACCAGGGAGCCACTTAGAAAATGTATCACAGAATAGTGAGAGTGACAGCTTGTCTCCTATAGCATCTCTGCCAAGCGCCCGTTGCCTGGCACTTCCTCCAGGCACTCATGCCTTACCGGTAGCTAGTTGTATCCAGCTGTTTGAATGTGGTAGTGTTTGTTGTGCAGCATGCTGAGGTGTGAAAGCCCCACAGAAAGCAGGGTTATGCAGCTTTGGTCCGCTGAGTACAAGTCTGTTGAACTGCTGCTTCTGCTTTTCTGCTCTACAGAGAGACCGGAACCGTGCAGAACTCCTTGAATTTCTGAACTCTGCATTATAACGGGAAGAGTATTGACCAAGGACTTGTAAATATACCAAGCCAATGATCATCATGCCTAGCAAAATGCTAAAAGGAAACTCAGGGAAAAGGACGCCAAGTTTGACAAGACCAGACTCTCCTGCTGAGAAGACAATCGGGATGTCCTTTTTTAATGGCAAAACGGAGGGTAACTGATAACTTGTTAATGAAGATCCATGTCCTTTTGAGATCCTAAGGTAATAGCCAGGCTGTGGTGTTTTAGAAGAGCCTAAGAGTGTGTTGTTGACAATGATAAGAAATGACACACTCAAGTCCAATAATGTAATTTCTATCCTAACTGCATGCAGAAAACACTCTCAATTTCAAATGTCTTAATGTTTCTAGTAGTTTTAAGCAAAACAGAATATTTGTAAATGTCTATTTGAAAGATGAGGCATTTCCATATGTGTATTTTTTCCAGCACTGGTTTTACTTGTTCCAAAGAGCAAGTTGACCTTTGTAAATAGAACATGCTTTTACATAAATGATTTTTTTGACAGTTCATTCACTAATATATTATTTTCTCCCAGAGTTTGAGGTATGATCTTTCCCTGGACAGTTTATTGTTCTCTTTCACTATAAAGTGTAATGGTAAAGTCCTCCAGAGCAATAATGATAGCTGAATTATTTTTATCCCAGAATAGAAGCCGGGACAGTCTCTGGTTTTGTTTGTTTATCTGGATCAGCTATTCAAAGGCAGATCACAATAGATAGTTTACCCCCACACATCTGGAGATGCAGTTCCTAGACCTAAAAACTCGCGAGTTCTGGCCTTCCTTTCTGATGCCATGAGCCGTGTATCAAATCTTCCTCTGTCTGAAGTGGGACATGGCACACATCGCCTATCGTAGTCTAATAGAAAGAGCCATAGGAATGATGCCGAGGCAGGCAGTGACAGTGACCCTCCAGGTGTATTGGCAGTCCACTGTGAGATGAGACAGGTCTGGATACACAGCTGGACCCCAGCATAACTTGTGTGTGTGTCTTAGCCGCAGTAGTTTTCTTGGTGCTTGCTCACTTCCTTCAAAAGCCTCGACTTTTGACTACCCAGCAGGCCCCTCTGTACATAACCGTGACATGGGAATTCCACATGAATCCCTTGAGTAGCAAGTGTTCCTCAGGAACCACGATTTAGGAATGCCTGAAGAAAGGAGTCAAGGGTAGTTGACTTTGACAAGAGTATCAGGTGTACAGTGGTCAGGGTTTGGGGAGTTCATTAAAAAACAAACAGAAAACTCTTTGTGTCTGTGTCTGCCATGGTGTTTTAAGTAAATCTGAGGATTTGTACAATTGTTCAAGGGATAATTTTAAAACTATTTTGATGTGTGAAACCTTCTGAAGATGCTAGAATCCTGTCTTTTCTTTTTGTGAAACATTTTGCAATTGTTGCAGAGGTGTAACTCTTCAGAGTCAAAAGCCCTGATCCACGTGAGGAAGTGCTTATGTTCAGAAGGATATAAAACATGAAAACACATAGGTAAGAACTGGAGTTTCCTCGACTTTTAATCTGGTGATGGAAGCTTTATTTGGAAGCAATGCTCAGAAATGTCAGTAGGGAAAAAACCAAACAAAATCCTCCCCCTTTGTTTCATGGGGGCCGTGCTTTGATTTATGCTACTCTGGTATCTTCTAGCTGGAGATGCCAAAGCCTCTTCCCCAGATAAGAGAAGTCCAGAGATAAAATCCGCTTAACGAGGTTAATCCCAAACACACTTAGAAGACACTAGCATCCTTGCCATTCCCTAGATTATATTATATGTAAAGATAGTATCATTTCCTGAAAATTTGGGGGGGGGGGGAAGTAGAAATTAGGAAGACAGAGCAAACAGGAATGGGAAACCCAAGAGATCTCACTTGGAAGGTTCAGACTTAATTGAAATAATCTGCTTTTTGCTGCTTTATTCAAGATCGGTCAAGATAGTAAAACTCCTTCATTGTTCCAGGCTAGTATGGAAAAGGCAAAGGACTTTTAGTAGTATGATGTGGTCTGTTCCTCTTTTAGGGTTTTGGTAGTTGCCAATTCTGACTGTACAAAAATGAGTCAGACCACTTCTTTAAAAAAAAAAAAAAATGGCTGTTTCAGAACAGAGACATTTTTCCTGTTCAGTTTAGACATGCTGGATATGTTTTGGTGACACATTAAAGTATTTCTATGCCAGCATTTACTTCTAAGCTATCATTTCTTTTAGAAGAAGTGCTTAAGTTCTTTGGCATTGATTCAGTTTTATTCTCTCCAGTCAGTTATGAGTGCTGTCTAAATTTCCCAGCAGTTGCTGCTTTTAGAAGCCTCCTTTCCTACTCACCTCCATTAGGTTCTCGGGTTTCTGTACAGGTTTAAGTTCACGTTGCATCCTTCCCTCATCTTTCCCCACAAGCACTGAGATCACATGCATCATCTTGGGACTGAGTATCTCTGAGACTGCTGTTTGGGGCTGGCCAACAGATTGCAGTCTCCCTAGTGAGCACAGGCTTATACAGTCAGAATAATTGTTTATGCCTTGCTGCCTCAGGAAATAAATTAATTTTGTTGACTTTATCACTGAAGCATAGCTTCTTAGTACTGCTACAGGTTACCATTGTGGCAGTTGAACCAAAGACTGAACCAGATGTGAAGGTTATGATAGTAAGGTAAGAGATGTAGAGGAATGTGATGAAATACAGAGAGAGAAATTTGCATGAGGAAGCTGTCAAGCAGTGTGGGATGTTGACCTGATATGCAAATGGCTGATAGAGAGCCTTGCTATCAGGTCTCAAAAAAGTGCATATCTTGGGGGGGAAGATGAATGCTGGAACAATAGAAATGGTATGATGTAGGGATGGAGGGAGACTGCTGCTGTCAGAAGTTATGGAGTGGGACAGAGGTCAGATGATAAGCAAAGGGCTGCAGAAGCTTACCTGGCTGGACAAGTTGAGATTCTTGCTAAAATGCTGAATAATAGAAGTCTGTCAGATGTGAAACCTACTTTTTTGTGTGTCTGTGAGTGACAGTCTTCCCTATCACACCTACTTTGTGTCCCTGCACCACTTTCCATTCTGGGAATCAGGCAGAACTCAACTGATTCTTTTTATATA